GGCTGTCCACCATGGAACGATGGGGCTGGACTGTGGCACTGGCCTCTCGCCAAGGCATTTTAGCCGGTTAAGTGCCAAAGGACATTCTTAAAAAGCATCTCACATGTAATAAGTGCTTAGTGGTGTGCCCTCGAAAGACAGTTATATATGCATGATCACAAGGTTCTCATTCAATTATATTACTTCCATAATCTGGAAGCAAGTGCAACCACAGTTAGCTTCATGACACACATTCATAGTCACAGCTAAATCAGCAACAGCTTCGTGTTAGATTGAACCCCATGAAATTGCCAATATTTGACCTTTAATCCACAGAAAGACAATTTCCTGTGATTTAAGCAACCATCTATCTGTCCATGTTTAAACATAATTATTTAAGTTTTGTTACTTTGTTTTAATTTCAGGGCATCATAATTAGTACACTTAAAGCACTTATTTTATGTTTATTTATATATTCAAAGATTGGAGATAATGACCTAATAATTTTGTGCTACATTTGAGATAAAATACATCCACCTTGGTTAGGTTAGTGTAAAAAAAGCTTTAATTTCATCTCAAGGCCCTGGGGTTAAATAGAAAGATGAGACATCAGTGATGATGAACATCCCACAGAGGCATGAAGTAACAGGTCTCCTTTTTTTTGATTACAGTATGTAAGTGTCTTCAAGGTACAGAATATATCTAGGGCTTACACAGAAATATATGCTGCATGGTACTCTTTAAGAAGGAGCAAAATACCTTGAAGTATATCAATGAATGGCTGTTATTCTCATTAGCATTTTTTAGTTATCTAGAGTGTTTTAGAAAGAAAACACAACAATTGACACTGAGTAGCAACAACTATGGTGTTTTTACATGTCCAATGTTATTGTGATTCAATTTTTTTTTTAGTCTATTGAAAATTGAGAAATCACTGAGATCTACCCAAGTCATTACATTCCAAATGAAAGTACCATGTGTCTCCTGGCATGGTGGGCTAGACCTTCATTCCTACTGAGTCAAACAGATCTAGGATGAAATTGTAGCTACTGACTTGCTAGTTATAGGACCATGAGTCCTATAACTGAGTTCACCTGTCTGGGTTTATTTTCTCATGTGTAGAATGCAGCAAACAAGAGTGATTACTTCACAGGGTCACTAATCAAATGAGACCACATGTGCAAAACACTTAATGAACATGAACATTGGTTCTTATTACAAATTAATGAACGTTTGCCCACTCACAAGCCTTTAGCTATAAAATATGCAAGAAGTATATATGTTCTTATCCCAAATGTGAATAATCAGCAGGAAATCTTTGAAAAGCAGAAATACTCTGAAGAAAACAATAGTGCTGTAGGGATGATATGACCTCCTTTTAACCTTGGTTTTAAAATTGTACATGAAAGAAAAACAAAAATCAAAGAGAACTAATTGGCTTGGGTAAATAAATTATGGCATATCACTATAATAGCTGATTTGTATGTTTTGTGTTTGCATGTACATTTTTTAAAGTCTGGACTATGTACGTCAAAGGTGCTCCTTCAGGGTAGTGAACTTGCAAGTAATTTTTCATTTCTATTTTACATATTTTTTATATTGTCAAAAACTTCTTGGCCGGGCAAGGTGGCTTACACCTGTAATCCCAAGACTTCGGGAGGCCGACACAATAGATCACCTGAGATCAGGAGTTTGAGACCAGCCTGGCCAACATGGTGAAACCCCATCTATATTAAAAATGCAAAAATTAGCCAGATGAGTTGGCACACCCCTGTAATTCCAGCTACTCAGGAAGCTGAGGTGAGAGAATTGCTTGAACCCAGGAAGCAAAGTTTGCAGTGAGCTGAGATGGTGCCACTGCACTCTAGCCTGGGTGACAGAGCAAGACCCCATCTCAAACAAACAAACAAACAAAACCCTTCTCCAATGAGCATATACTACATTTAGTAAAGATATATAAATTAATAAATAAAAAATAACTTTAAATTTAAAAAATAAAATAGTTATGATACATGTTCTTATTAATTCAGTAGTTGAATCTCATGTCACATTCCTTCATATTGTATAAGACTGAGGGCTTGAAATGGGCATCTGGGGAATTTCTAACACCCTCTTGCATCAAAACCATTTTATTATATATACAGCAGTTGGTAGGCCCTGAGTTTTCACCTGGAAATTCCATATTTCAAGACAGAATTGTTTCTTCTTCGTGCTCCTTGCTGTCATTTTGTCCGTATATATTTGCTTCATCACCACAACTAAATTATGAACTTCTGAATAGCAAAACTTCTGAATAAAAGAAAGATAAATTTCTTTTATCTCATTTGTGGCAGTTTTTGTTTGTTTGTTTGTTTGTTTGTTTGTTTGTTTGTTTTTGCCTAGTACCTATCCTAGTGTTAGGTATTCACTAGTCACACAAAAAGTAAAGGATGTTGTTTTCCCTTTGGATGCGGTTCCTCCAGCCAAGTCTGTCATACAGAATCCAAATAGGTAGTCCATGAGTAGATTTCAGGTAGTTGCTACGGACTTCCTATGAACATTTCAGTGCTTCCAATCCTTACTCTATGATTTCACCTACAAAGCTTTAAGAAAATCCTGATGCCCAAACTCCACCCCCGGAGATTCTAATATAATTGTTTCCACTACTGAAAAAAAAAAGAAGTCCCCAGAACTCTAATATGCAGCCAGTTCGATAATTCTATATTAGGATAGAATAAAGGAAAAAAAGTTTTGTAGGTTCAATTGTGTTGTGGTTTTTATTTTGCTGTTTTGGTATACATACATATTTATTTTTCAGAAGATTGACGTTGAAAACAGCTTCCCTCCTTTAATAACAATAGCTAGTATTTATTAAGCATTTGTCATGCATGAAGCACTGTTCCAAATAGTTTCCATATATTAAATAATTTAATCCTTATCATAACCCTGTAAGTGATGCATTATTAAACCCTATTTAACAGAAAAAGCAAATGAGACCTAGAGAGGTTGAATATTTTGAAAAGCTGGGCTTCGAACCCAGATAGAACAACCCTGAAGCCCCCATTTTTAAGCCAGAGTCTCTTTGCTCCAAGAAAATCCAGTAAATACCCCATATCTTCAAGGAAAATCTTCTGGATTACTCTCACCTCACTGATACAGATTAACTTTTCTGATGTCTTTTATGTTACATTTTCATGTAATAGTCTGTATCCAGGTTTTTGCCCAACCAAAATAAATACCAAACACTCAGATGCCCAACCTTGTGCTGTACATTTTACCTGCATTGCTTCATTTTGCCCTATACTCTGTTCTCTAATGACTGTGCTACATATATTTATTTTCTCTCTGGAGAAATTGTGGCATTTGTGAGTACTGAGCAAACCATCATTCATTGCACCACTCCCCTACCGAGGGTCCTTATGCTCTGGTACCTGTTGAATAGATTATATTGTGCAATAGGTAGGGAGTTACTGAATTTATAGATAGGCACTGTCACTTTCTAGTTTCATACTATCAGGCAGGTCAACTCACCTCTTAGAGCCTCAGGTTCCTTCTCAGTAAAACAGGGGTGCCTTCATTCAACTGACACTGAATAGCCCTTGCTATGCGCCTGATGCTGAACAAGACAAATGTAGACCCTGGCCTCAGGGGGCTTTCAGGCCACTCCCATTCTCCCAGGAGAACACAATGAGGTGATGCCAAGTGAAGCGCTTATTTAGCTCAGGTCTGGGGAGCAGGGGGACATGTAACTACCACTCAATAAATGTTAGCTATTCATTCAATATATTCTATTTAATTAAAAGCAAACAATCCATTCAACACCGGAAGAAAATGTAATTAAACCTCATACTGCACACATACAATATTCCACATCATGCCACCTTGAGCCTTTACCACTTCAGATCTTACTTGCTACATTCTCCTGCAAGTCCGTAGCAGGTACACCAGGGCCTGTGAAATCAAGATTCCCCGTGCCCCCATTCTTTTTCTAGAATGGTGACCTCTCAAAAAAGAAGGGAAGGAGGAGAAGAAGGAGGGGTAGAGGAAGGAGAAGGAGGAGGGGAAGACAGAGGAGGAGAAGGAGGAAGAAAGGCCAAACCAGGATCACAGAAACTGTGGAGTATTTAAAATATCGACATTGGATAAATCAATTCAACTTTCAATAAAATCCAAAGCTATGTTATTGTGCAGTTGTGAGACAATTATTTTTATAAAATGGATTTGCCTTTTAAAATAAATTAATTCATAATGTGTAGAGAAAAATTAACTCATGGTGTGTAGAGAAATGAGGTCTGGTAAAGGGACATACATTTAAGGCTGTTTGGGAAACATTTTCTCCCAGCCCTGTCAGAGCACCTCTGGTACTCTCCTTGTCAACTCACTTGAAGAGAATATGAAAACTCTCAAAAAGAAGTCGTTCATGAAGAATCCTCCCTTCCTCTCCTTCCTCTCCCATTTTGCTACGTTACACTCAGCACCAGATCAAGTTGGAATCTCTGCACTGTCACTCATCAGCTATTTTGAGCTAACCTCTCTGAGCCTCTCAAGTTTCATGAAAAGAACTCATAATAAAACAAACCAAAAAAAAAAAAAATGCTCTGGAGGATAAACGCCTGGTGTGGGATGGGCTCGCCTTCCTTTTTATTTTCCTTTCTTTCAAGTGCAGAGGCACCAGATTTGCGGGGATCTCAGAAGTCATTTCGCCAGCCCCTCTCGGGTGGCTGGGTGCATTCTGCGCCTCCAGCAGTCGCCGGTGCCTACTTCCCTTTATTCTAAGGGCACTCAGGTCCTGGGATGCCTGCAGCCTGGAAGGCGGAATCAAGTCCCGTCCAGCGATTGTAGGAGTCCGAACGAGCGATGGAGAGTTGCGGGCTTGCGATGCCCTCTTTCCCCTACTCCTGGCAGGAGCCGCTCCGCGCCTCCTGGCACCGGCACCCTTTCTCTGTCGCGGAAGGCTAGCCCAGCCCGCAGCCGCGCGCGGCCGAGACCAAGGGCGCCCCCTCCCTTCCTCCCGCTCCCCCTCCTCTTCCTCCCCTCCCGATACAATGACTGGGCCGGAACAGCGCATCAGCCGAGCCTCATTGGCAGCGGCCGCCCCAGCCCCGGGAGAGGCGGCGGGCGGGGGCAGCTGGGGAGAGAGGGAGCCGAAAGCCCCGGCTGACAGCAAGAGGAGGCAGGCAGGACGGAAGGAAGCTAGAAAGGCGGCCCGGGGCACAGCTGTAAGTGGATCAAAGCGAGAACGCACGGCGAGCGGCTGCGGCGGCGGCGGGGGCGACCTGCAGCCCCGGGCCGGGGGATGCGGCAGGCGCTGGCTGCCCAGCGAGCCGGGGAGTCGGGCTGCGTGGCTCACGTGCCGAGCGGGAGCTTGGACAGAGAGGAAGAGGAAGAAGAGGAAGGCAGCCGCCGCAGGGGAAGGCACAGCGCAGAGCGGACTTGCAGGACTGGCTCAGAGCCGGGTCCCCAGGTCCGGCGCGGTGCGCAGCCGAGACAATAAAGTAGCGGTCGACAGCCCCGGCGCGCCGCAGGGAGGAGGCGGCGGAGCAGGTAGGTGGGCGACCGCCCCGGGCTCCCCGAGCGCGCTGCCGGGGCGCGGCCGCAAGACACGGCCACAGGCGCGCCTGGTGCGCCCCGGGCGCAGCGCGCACGTTTGGAGACCCCCAGCGGAGGTGCAGGTCCCGGGCACTCCCGCGAGCAGGAAGCCCCGCCCTGGGGCTCGGGGTCTGGCTGCAGCCTTAACTGGAGTCCCTGGGGCACTTGGCACGGCGCTTTGGTCGCTTTGGTGGTGTGGAGACAGGAAGTTTGGCGGTTTCGAGGCGTTGGCGTTGATGGGGTTTGCAAAGGCGCCGCCGGGGACCGAGTTGCTTTGGTTGCAGCGCGTTCGTGGGAGGTCGGGAGAAGAGCTGATGAATCCCAGATCCGGCGCCCAGAGATACTTCTAAAAGGCAGAGAAAAGAGTTGGGGGGGGGGGGGGGCGGGGTGGAATCCCTGGAGTTAGCGGAGGTCAGACGTTAAGGATTTGGTTTGGCTGCCCTTTTCAAATAGGTGTGTTAGATCCTAGCCGCTCCTCTCTTGGAGAGGCGGTGTGCCTGTGAATCGTTCTCTATTTTGTGGAGTATTTCACTTTTCATTTTCATCTGGGGAAGAAAAAATAAAGATAATTTTTAGCTCCTACTTTGAGAAGTGCCATTTCGTTTGGAATGGAGGACAAACTCTTCCCTTGCATTGGATGTCCTGTGCTTTTAAAGATACTGAACAGTGCCTGCTCTTGTTCACAAAAGGGGTGAGATGTGTATTAAATCTTCTCTGGCCTGAGAGAGCAGCCGCAGGAGGAGGTCTCTCTTTCGCTCTCCTTTGTGTGGCCGCTTCCTTCCAGATGTGAGAGGGTTGGGCTGGGCGCTCCTGGGTGGGGTAATAATTATCCTGAACATTCCTGCGAGCTGCTAGGACTTGTAAACATACCAGAGCCAACTCCTCTGAACTTCGCGAACTGATTTGGTGTGTTTGCTGGTACCCAGACGGCTGCGACTAGAGGCTGGGCCTTTCGGGAAGAAAGACCTTGGGGTGCTGACAGCAGCAGTCTTTCCGGAAAGCTGGTTGATCCTTCAAGATTAGGTGGTGTCGACCCCAGAAACTTACTGGCCAACTCAGAAGATGCGTACAAGATTATAGCACAATCCCCGACGTGCTGTTTCCTGTCCTAAAGGGAATGGATCTGCAGGGTTTACAAATCAAATGTCTGGAGGGGAAATAAAGCAGCTTCGCCTTACTTAACGTACACATGCTGTGAAGAATGGTGGTTAAGAGATCTGATTGTGTGGCGGCATCCTGGTAGGCAGTTTTGGGGCATCATCCATAATTCATGAAGTGGCAAACCTAGCCCTACAGAGAGCTTAAGTAACTTACCGTAAGTCGCACCAGTAATCTGTGGTTTATATAAGATCTAATTTCAGATGCCATGCTCTTAAGAAGACAGTACCTCTAAAAGGGATGTACTGCAATGGTGGTGTTAATAAGAATGAAGAAAATAATGACAGTAACAACAATAGCTACTATATATATATATATATGGTGAGAGGGAGGCTCTCGTCTCCCAGGCTGGAGTTCAGTGGCGTGATCTCAGCTCACTGCAATCTCTGTCTCCCAGGTTCAAGTGAGTCTCCTGCCTCAGCCTCCTGAGTAGCTGGGATTACAGGCGCCAGCCACCATGCCCTGCCATATATATATTTGTATTTTTAGTAGAGACGGGGTTTCACCATGTTAGCCAGAATGGTTTCGATCACCTGACCTCATGATCTGCCCGCCTCAGCCTACCGAAGTGTTGAGATTACAGGCGTTAGCCACCGCGCCCGGCCCATATATTTTTAATAAATTTATACAAGATGATGTTTAAGAGAGACTGACACACAGTAAGCACTCTGTATATATTTTTGTCACTAAATTACGTGTCACAAGATGGGTAGATGTACTGGTGTTTCTACAGTTCTTAATTTTTTTTTTGAGATCGAGTCTCGCTCTGACTGGAGTGCAGTGGTGCCAAATAGGCTCATCGCAACCACGCCTCCCAGGTTTAAGTGATTCTCTTGCCTCAGCCTCCCGAGTAGCTGGGGTTACAGGTGTGCACCACTGCCACCTGGCTAATGTTTGTATTTTTAGCAGAGATGGGTGTCACCATGCTGGTCAGGCTGGTGTTGAACTCCTGACTTCAAAAGATCCACCTACCTCAGCCTGCCAAAATGCTGGGGTTACGGGTGTGAGCCACCGTGCCTGGCCAATTCTTCCTTTTCGTAATCTGAAAATGTTGTAATAAAAAGTCACACACACACACACACACGCCCCTTTTGAACAGTGATTGCATTTCCTAAAAGGGTGAGAAAAATGTAGACAACTGCAAGGACTTATTGAATGGTAGAGGTTTAATCACCTCTTTGTGACATCTGCAAGTAATATTAATCAAACTTTTATTTGCTTAAATTCAGAAATGCAGGTGGAAGGCATTTAAACAATATGGTGATGGAACATGAAGAAATTACCTGCATATGACATTTTGAGGTTTAATTTTCATTATCCATGGGAAAGTTCTCAGAAGATCTTTCCCCCACCAGTGATCATGGGAATCATGATCCTGTTTTCCTGTATTAAACTTCACTGTTTTGAAATTAATAAATTTCCATCTTAGTGGCAGAAAAGTGAATGGGCCTCTCAAAGACGCAGATGGTTTCTAATCTAGAAAAGTGTAGGAGGAGTTACCTTCACAGCCATGCTCAAGTGTCAAATCAGCTGAAGTTTTCTCAGTACTGTTTATTGTCACTGGCCTCTAGTTTCAGCAAGTCTTAGAATATTAGTTTTCCTTTTGATTCCACCGATTTCATCAAGACTCTGCATGCTTTGAACAGACAAAAAGAACGTTTTGGCTAACTGACAATACAAATAGGATACGTGGAAAACAGTTAAAAATACCCTGCCTTATCCAGCCTGCAGTAATTTTCTAGCAGGAAATCTTCGTACTTAATCTTACACACGTAAGTGAAGGTTTGAGACTTATATGCAAGTGATCTCTCTCTATCCCTCCCTTTAAATCTGCCCCAGAGATCTGATCTTATCATGAATGCACTATTTCGCATGTTCAGGACTGCCGAGGCTCACTGAAGTGACTATCATCAGCCTATAAATAAATAATGCACTCAGCTCATCAGCAGGTCTTACTTTACTTACATATCTCTCCCTTTTTAGATGTAGTTGTTATTTTGTTTTAGAGGGAAGATTTTTTTTTTTGATAATTCATTTATTTCTAAATCAGTAAGATTTTTTTTCTCTTCTACCAAATGTATGTTGTGGGCAGTCAGAAGTGGTAAGATGACAATTTTCTGTTGCTAGATGCTTGATAAACTGTCTACATAACTTAGGGGCCAAATCTCTTATTCTCCCCAATAATGAGATTTACTGAAATTATGATGTAATTTCTTATCTCATTCTTCCTGGTGAAATCAATTTTTAACCTAAACTCATAAGGCAGTGTTTTTTCAATATGAAGGTCATAAAATCCATTTCATGGGTTACTACCAGTATGTTTTTTTAAGTATAACAAGACAGCAAGTGTCAGCATCATCATATGTTACAAGAGTTGTGTAATTTCATGAAATTTTGAGTTACACCTGTGTGCATTCTGGGTTGTAGTATAAAATGGAATTCTTAGCTGTCAAAAAGTTTCAAAGGTACTGCCACAGGATGCATGTATCTGTTAGTGCTATTTTGATAATTAGTTACAAACCCAATTATAAATGGAATTAGGATATTATATATGCATATATACAATATATTTTTTTCCTACATATTGGTTCATGTTACTAAAAGGTACATGGATAGGACTGACTTCAAGAGCATCTTGCTTAGGACTAAACAGTGACAGGTTCTGATTTATTTTCATTTCTCAGGCCTGCCTGTCTCTTCTTTCCTCTGTGTATTAGGGTCCTTCTTGGGTGACAAGAAGACTGTATAGCACTTGCTGGTTTACACAGTTTCAAGTTCAAGTTCAGCAACAAAAAACAGTTCCTTCCCCAGTTGTTGAACAAAAAGTTTCGAAACGAGCTCTGATTCACCCAGCTGGCACAGCTGGAGGAAATCTCTGTGCTAAGTGGCTTCTGCAGAGGTTGAGGGTTTTGCCCCAGCGGTGGAGTCCTACCCAGACCATGTAGATGGAGGACATCAGAGGGCTGGACTGCCTGCCACATGAATACAGGTGTGGAAAAGGGGGGAAATTAAAGCTAAGAAAGGAGTAAATGTTCACCATGGAGCACAAGTCCCTAATGCACATATGCTAATTGCTCTTCTTTTTTGATGCCCCAAATAATGGAAAATGAGCTGAATTGTATTCAGGCAAATAGGTTATCAATATGATTTTTCATCTGTGCAAGGAAAACCTTAGCTGTTACTTTTAACATGGTCAGTTTCAGGATTTATGAGATCAAGATGCAGAACAAGTTAAATTGATAGTAGTTACTTTATTTTCCAATGACACTAAGAAGATAAAGGCAGATATATTGATTAAAAACCCACAGCAGTTCCAAAACCTCATACAAGGGGTGATCATGATCCTGTTTTCATTTATGTGCAAATCTTAGAAAACATTTATATGAATCAATTTACCGTGCTAATGTAATAAAAGCAGTTATTTAAGTAGTGTCTTAGAGCAAAGTATTTGAAGAATACACCTTCTTAAAGCCCAGGGCAAATGAGTGCTCTATTCTGCAGTTCTTCAGCCTTGGGGTATTTATTTGGGTCTGTGTTACTTTGTCCTTAGAGATGTGCTGCTTATAATTGTCCTCTGTCACTTTATGCAGTTATCCAGTGGGAAAGGGGACCCTAATGTGTACAGCTGTAGGGATAATGTTCACTCACAGCAGAGAGGCCCTAGAAGTAGAGTGATCACGCTGGCTTGCCTGGGTCAATCCTGGTTAATGTCTATGCCTCCAGTTTGGGTGATAAATTATATGGTCACCCCACATATAAAGGCTACTATTTTAGGGTGGCATGACCAGGCATCTATT